CCCTGAAAGTAGATTTATATAAAATTCAATAAATGTTGTGTACACACAGATACATGTAATGACGCTAGTCATGTAATTCTCACAAGGGTTTTTAAGTGGTGAAATTAAAATTACACGAAAAAAAATGTTTTGTACTTTTTGTACGTGTACAAAATATTGATAAACATAAATGCATACTTTTACTTTTTACTTATATATATATATATATATATATATATATATATATATATATATATATATCTGCAGAACTTTTTGACATTTTGAATAATATCTTTACTGAGCACGAAACACGAATGAAGGTATTGTTGCGATACCAACGTAGGCTACGTAGCTGGGCTGGATAATCCACACCCAGGATAATCCACACCCAGGACAGACGAGTTCACTCACAACAGCTGCAAATCACCTAGAAACCTTCCAAGTGATTTTTGAAATACAGGTAATGACCTAGTCATGTAATGCTCACACTGTTTTTAAGTGGTGAAATTCAGAATTCATGTAAAAGTAATGTTTTGTAATTTTCTGTACGTCTTCAAGAAACATGATGACTACTTATAATATATATATATATATATATATATATATAAATGCAGGACTATGACATCTTGAATAATATCTTTACTGAGCACGAAACACCTGATAAGTAATCGACGAAAGTGTTGCTGTGACGATAGCTAACAAAAAACTGGTGCCTATTTCGGCTACGTAGCTGGATTGGGGAATACTCACCCTGGGTAGATGAGGTCATTTACAACAGCTGCACGTCTTTTAGGAACCTTCAAAGAGATTTCTGAAGATTTCTATTTTTAGCAAGGCACTTTCGGATTTTGGAGGTTTTCGGGTATGTGAGGTTTTGGGATTTTGGAGATATTCATATCGTGAAATTTTGGATAAAGAGTACTTAAGCTGTGATACTAATTTTACTGCTGATATTACTACTAATGCTGATGCGACAGTACATACTAATAACTATTAGTATTAGAGTTACTGATATTAATAACGAGTAAGACTGACTTACAAAGTTCTCTGTTCGCGAATAAGTTTGTTTTTCAAGGCAGGGCGGAAAATGTGACACCGAAATCCGAAGGCGCATTGGAATAGCGAAAGGTGCCTTCTAAAAGCTAAGTAAAGTATTAAGAAACGGGAAAATATCCTTAGAATCAAAGAAAAGCGTACTGAACTCCTAAGCAATATCAGCCCTCCTATATGGCAATGAAAGCTAGATAATCGCCTCACAGATGAAGATAAAAACTGCTGAACATGAGAGCAGTGATGAAGCTTTAGAGAAAATGGAAATAAAAAAGACACTTAGAATCAGAAAGAGTTGATATTTCATAATGTGGAAAGCGGGCTTGGAGAATCTGACACTCACATGACGTATTGAAGGTGAGAGAGATAGAGGAGTACGTGAATAACCTACTTAACAAGCTTATGTAAATGGCTGTCAAGGCAAGGCATGGATTAGGAGGGATAGAAAAATGATAATTCTTATTTGGAGCTACAAAGGATGGGTTGTTGTGGAGAGCCATGATCGTCAATGTCCTGAAGGTACATTAGAAATAGAAGAAGAAGAAAATAATTTGTGCAAATGTTCTTCTCCCGCGTTTTTTGTAAGCCTGTCAACAAACGCTCGCTCGAGACAAGCACCTAAAAATAACTTCAACGATGACAGATCAATTATGGTGGATCAACGATGGCAGATTAACGGATTTAGGTTAGTATTTATTTCCTTCCAAAGTGAATTATTCCTTTCTGCATTGAATCTTTTTTTTTCTTTTATTGGAATTACTTTTCTTTACTGAACTTCTAAAAAATTCCATTATATTGTAAGTAGAAATAGTAAGACCAAGAATTCTGTTCTTGAAATGACACAGGAAAAAAAAACAAAAAAACAAAAACAAAAAAAAAAACAACAATAAATTCGATTCGTTAAAGTATGGAGAAAGAAAGAGACAGAAATAAATAAGTAAAAAGAATGTGAGAGAAAAAGAGAAAGAATGTAAAAAAGAAAAAGAAAGAGAATAGGTGTATGGGTGAAAGAGAGGGAAAGAAAAAGAATATAATAAAGAAAGAAAGAAAAAGGAAAGAAAAAGGAAAGAAAGAAAGAAAGAACGTGAAAAAAAGTAATGTAATACTCAATTGCATTTAGAACTTTTCTGATTCATTTTGCATGTCAGCCGGAAGTGAACTCCAAGAAGGCAGAACACAAAATAAAAAAGTCGTTTTCTGCGCATAATCTCTGAGCATAACGTCCGGTCCACGAAACAAGTGCCTGCAATGAAAGCGACACAGAGGTCAATCGCGAACGTTCTCGCCAGAAAAGATGATGATCCTGGGGACTGCCAGATCTGCTTAAAAGCAGGTGTCTCGTAACGACCAACACAGCCCCGGACCGAAAAGCCGATTGCTGACACGCAGGCGCGCTGCCAACGTTATCACTGCTTCTCTCAACATACCCGTTACCACTCTCAGGCTTCACTAATCCCATCCGACTCTTCGTACGTGGAATGAGACCGGCAATCCAGCTTCGACACCACCAGGCTCCCGACGCCAACCGCCATGATTTATAACACCGCGACATTGTCACCACCAGGCATTCCCCGTAGTCACCATCGTGACCCCAACGCGCGTCACAACGAATCAACCCATTTTACCACATAATTGCCGACCGAAAGGCCCCATGCCGACACGCAGGGGACTGTCGCTGTCATCGCGATGGCAGCTTCTCTCACCGTAGCAGGGACCTCGCCCAAGATTTACTAATCTCACCCGACTATTCACACACGGAATTTAATAGTGACCAGCTCCGACATTGCCAGGCCTCCGAAGCCAAACACTTTGATTTCTAAAACCTCAAAGTTTTCGGCCTCCCTCGTTGACTCCAAATAGAGGCGTTCCGACGATCATCCCTAACCCCACAGGCCTAGCCTCGCCGTCAACACCGTGAGCCCGTTTCGTTGATACAACATTCGACCTGAATCGAACAGAAACATTCCGCTCGATTTGACACAAGCATACTCTCCCAGTCACCAGGGCGACTCCGTTTCTTTTATACAACATTCGATCTGAATCCAACAGGAACATTCCGCTCGATTTGATACAGGCATACTCTCCCAGTCACTAGGGCGACTCCGTTTCGTTTATACAACATTCGACCTGAATCCAACAGGAACATTCCGCTCGATTTGATACAAGACTACTAGCTACACCTAATCCCACGTCGCCACCGCCGTCACCTCGGCAACAAATGCACCCTACTATAAATCAACCCACCACTGTAACCTCCATCGATTAAAACGTCAACACATCTTACCAGGTAGTTCGGCTTCAACATCTCGGCATCACCCGACCGCCAGCCTATCAATAGCATCAAAGAAAGAAAGAAAGAAAGAAAGAAAGAATGAAAAAAAAGGACGGAAAGGGAAAGGAGTGTAAAACAAAGAAAGAAATTGAAAGATAAAGAAAAGAAAGAGATAAAGAATGAAAGACAAGAAAAGAAAAAGAAAGAAAAAAAGAAAAAGAACGTGAAAGAGAAAGAGAGAAGCAAAAAGAAAGAAGAAGAGAAGCAAAAAGAAAATGGGAGAAAGAAAAAGAAAGCATAACAAAGAAAGTATGAGAAACAGCGACAAAGAATAAAAGAGAGTATAAGCTACTAAACCAGCTTAATAATATTGACAACACAAATTCTATTATTTTTATGACAAAGAATATCTTAATGTCACGTTACCTTACCCCCCCCCCATCCCTCCTCAGTCTAACGAGTTTCAATACTTTTCCCCTGTTTCCATATTATTGTCTCATCACGATCGATGTACACAACATGTTCACATATACTTGAAGAAATGGGTTTGGTACGTTTTGACGTAGCCCATTTGGCGTGGCTGTTTCGGCGTCAGAAAAAAAATAATTGGACTATTCGGCACAACAGTTTCGGCGTCAGACTGTTTCGACGTCAATGACCTTGACATCCAACTTTCAATATGACCTTTCAATTCATCTGGGGAATTAGGGATGCTATTTAAACACTAATGGAATAATGTAAATTAAAAATTTAAATAAAAATATTGTATTTAAAAAAACATTAAAAAAACTTAATAAAACTATTTAATCTTAGAAATTACTTTTTCATTTCGTAATTATGAGCAACACCATTCAGGAATTCAATAGGATCTAATGATTCAACTTCCAAACTGCCATTATGTCTTTTGTTGATTCATTCGTCAGTATCTCTATATTTTTTTTTAGCTTTTTGGTGAGTGGATATCCAGCAATCACTTTTTCGAGAAATGCATCACGCCCTTTCTGAACTTTCCGTAAGGCATCAATAAATTTCCAGATTGAAGGATGATGCATTCCTAGGTCATATTGCAAACACCGATTGGCAGCTTCAGTTTGATTTAGTTTCATTATTTAGAATTCGTTTATAAAGGTTCCATATCTCGAGAGCAAAAATAGGGGTCATCCTCGCATTTCTTTTTCTTGAATTGGACTATTCGAGCATATAAAGACGAAGTACTAATTTGACTACTAAACGAGAGAGAGAGAGAGAGAGAGAGAGAGACAGACAGACAGAGACAGAGACAGAGACAGAGACAGAGACAGAGACAGGGGAGGGAGAGAGCGAATTTGACTATGAAGACGAAGTAGTCATCTGACGCCTCATCGTCCCTCTGTCGAAAAATTCCTAAAAAATATCAAGGATAAAAGCATTGAAAATACCCGATTTTCAATATGACTTTTTATTCATTTAGAGAATTAAGAATCCTCTTAAAACACTTATGGAATAACGTAAATTAAAAACTTAAATTATAAAAATTAAAAAAACTTAGTAAAGCTATTTAATCTTATTCTTCATTTTGTAATTATGTGCAAGACTCTTCATGAACTCAATAGTATCTAATGATTCAACTTCAATTATGACTTTTTTTTATTCGTTCGTCAGCATCTCTTTTTTGGTGTGGGGGTGGATATCCAGTGATCAACTTTTGGAGAAATGCATCATGTCCTTTCTGAACTTTCCGTAAGGTACCATGTGTATCACTTTGTTTCGTCCACGTTTTGAGGAAATGTCTGCTTCCATTTTGGAATAAAAGAATTTTGACGACTGAAAAATATGAAGGTGCACTGAAGGAAATATATAAAAATGCCTCCAACTACTCTTTTTCTTAAATATAAAAATGCCTCCAACTACTCTTTTTCTTAAATTTAAAAATGCCTCCAACTACTCTTTTTCTTAAATATAAAAAATGCCTCCAACATCTTTTTTTCTTAAATTTAAAAATACCTCCAACTACTCCTTTTCTTAAATATAAAAATGCCTCCAACTACTCTTTTTCTTAAATATAAAAATGCCTCCAACTACTCCTTTTCTTAAATATAAAAAATGCCTCCAACTACTCCTTTTCTTAAATATAAAAAATGCCTCCAACTACTCCTTTTGTTAAATATAAAAATGCCTCAAACTACCCTTTTTCTTAAATATAAAAAATGCCTCCAACTTCTCTTTTTCTTAAATTTAAAAATACCTCCAACTACTCATTTTCTTAAATTGGACTATTCGAGTATATAACGACAAAGTACTAATTAGTAGTCAAATTAGTACTACTAAACGAGAGAGAAAGAGAGAGAGAGAGAGAGTTGGCTATGGCAACGAATTAGTAATCTGATGCTTAATTGTCCCTCTACCGAAAAATTTCTATGTCGAATCGTCTACGCCGAATCAGCGACGCCAAATGAGCTATGAGATTTGAACAAAAGAACAGCATGTGTACTTAATATCCGTGAATATCTATCTATCTATCTATCTATCTATCTATCTATCTATCTATCTTTTGTGATGTACGGTTTTCCTTAATGATAAAGTATAACAGAAGACTTCAATATTAAGATAAAACAGCATTTAATTACAACCGCAAATAATTACTAAACAAGAACAAAGAAGTAAAAGTCAACCAAAGATAACCATTTCAGTGAATACCTTGTTAGTAGCGTGGCTCAGCTTAACGTCCGGTAAATCGTAAATCAAAACCCAAATCATCGACACAAAATAATTCACACTAATTCGACTGGATAGTTCCACTCAACACTTACTCAGTCATTACTCAATAATCACTGCAGTCAGTAGCCTGATACCGATATTTATACACCTTGTGGAAAACATATAAGTCCAGAGTGTCACGTTCGAACCTCGGTGTTGGTAGTTACTCATTTTGTTCTTATATGACACTATCTGTTTTGGAGTAAATAGTACATCCCTAGTGACTATATCCACTACGCCATAGCCATAAGAGTTCCAGGTCAGAGGTAAGAAGTCGTTTAGAGTCAGTCTTCAGACTTATTAATATAGACATTATGGTAAGTTTCTGAAGCATTACTTATATTATAACCGCTTTGAAGCGCATTATAGTAGTGGCGACGAAGAATTCGAATCTTATGCAATTTAGGACTTATGGCAGTAACGAGGATTCAAGAACTCATACGAGTTGTAACAAGGATTTTCGAAACTCATACTGAGTGAATAGGTACGAAAAATATACTTCTTGCTTCCGGAACAAGTATATCGATGATGATAAGGCAGCAAAATCAACATTTGCTAGAACTACAAAAACAGTAACAAGAGTTGTTGGAAATTATTCTGAAGAAGAAAAAAATCAAAGTCTCTTACGCCAGACGCTGTCCAAAACACCATATCAGATTTTATATACTATCCTGATGAGGGACTGAATTTTTCTGTGTATTTTCGTAAATATGAACACTGCAAAACCAAACCAAGAAAAAATTCTCACGGGAAGAAATTCCTACACAGCATTGCGACGAAAAGGTCAGAGATAACAAAAGGAAATTTGTGAATCTGAAAATAAATAATGTGAAAATGCTACTGGAAACTGATAGTGATATTTCAATAATCAGTTAAACCATATGTAATGAAACTGGAAAGCCTTTATCAAAAAGGACTTCCAAAGTCGTGATTTCAGTTTCTAGTGAAAAATTATTTTTGGAAAAATGACTTGCAATGTCTCATTCTGCAACAAGCATGTAAAAACTAAAGCTTATGTATTAAAAAGGTTTCAAAATTATTCGGTATTGACTGGATGGAATTATTTGATTTGTCGATAGGTTATTATTCTAAAAATATCAGTAGACAAGCGACCAATTTAAAAAATCAGAACGAAAATCTTAAGGGAGAATTAAAAAATGTTCTCCTGATGTCCTGTCAAATGAACTGAGTCCGTGTTTAAAATTCAAGGCGGATTTTCAAGTAAAAAAGGTTCGATGCCAGTATTTAAGCCGAGGAGGAGCGTACTATTATCAGCATTGTAACAAGTCAACGAAGATTAGGACAGACTCGAAAGAATTGGTGTAATAGAAAAAAAATGACCATTCAAAATGGGCTGCACCAGCGGTGTAAGTAAAGAAAAAAAAAAATTTCGTGATTACGCGAATTTCTCGACAAGATTAAACAATTGTTTAGAAACACATTACCAAATCCAGAGGATGTTTTCTTTTAAGTTAAACGACGGATGAATATCTTCAAAGCAGGATCTCTCTGAAGCGTATTTACAAATTCAGATTGCAAATGAATGTTCGGAATAAACGACCATAAACACGTACAGATAACTGTATAAGTTTAACCGACTTCATTTTGGCCTAAATGTGGCACCAAATATTTTTCAACAGGCTATGGCTACCATCCTTGCGGATTACGATTTCATAGTGGCGTATCTAGGCGACATTTCAATCAAAAGTGTATATATCTATCTATAAAAGACAGGATTTGTGTGTGTGTAACGAATGCACGGCCGCAATTTTCGACAGATTTGCACCAAAATTTGCATGCACAGGCTTCAAGATAGTAGGAAGGCCAAGACCGACTTTGGATTTCACAACTCACATCGATAGTGTAAATAATCGATTTTTTCATGCTTCTACGGCAGTTTTCATGTAGTTTGCGGCCAAAGTGAGAGCCTAAAGCTGGCTGCCACGAATAGGCAGGAAGATTCTATTGGCCAGCGTGAGAGCCAACAGCTGACTGACACGAATCGATAGCTGCATTCATCACAAGTGGGAAAAATTTATATCCGCATGGCACTTTACTCCATTTGGCTCATTCGCTTGCTTAAACTCAACGTTGATTCTGATTCTGCAGAACTGGGTTGGGTGTGAAAAAGTATTTGTTGTTAACATTCTTTTTTCATTCGGTTTTTCCAGTTACGAGTCTTTTTTAAAGCTGATCGTTTTGTGTTCATTTTGTTTAATTCTTTTTTTCGTAACAGATTTAATGTTTAGTATAGAGCTTAGAAAAAATTGGAAGTGTGAGATAGGCAAGAAGTAAAGCATGTAGCAACATTAGCACGGCAAAGGGCACTCCTTTAAAGGCAAGGAAGGGCAAAAATATTTTAAGTCAAGTGATAGCGATTGCTGTATGAGTCTTACGAGTTTTTAATCAAGCACGGGCAACGCCGGGCCATGCTGCCAGTAAAGAATAATATATTGGGCATTTGAACAAATTTTGGAAAACTTAAGAGAGTACAGATTCAAGCTTAGTGAAGAAAAATGCGATTTGTTTTTGCTGAAAATTAAATACCTTGGTTAAAGTATTGATCATATGATCATCAACCAGGTCCATATACCTTCACCAACAAACGTGACTACGTTACGCGCTTTTTTAGAACTGGCTAATTACTATCAAATATATATATATAATATACATGATTAGAGAGCTCCACTGAACAATCTACCTAAAAATAATGTGTAACTAGAATGATAACTGTCAGAAGGCATCTGACGAAATAATAATAATAATAATAAAAAACACTTTCGTCAGATTTATCATTAGCACACTACAATCCAAAAGCAGAAATTATAGTGGCGTCAGAAACTAGTGAGTATGATTTTGAAGCGGTGATTTTATGCAAATACTATGACGGTAAAATGAAATCATTCGCTCACGCTTCCCATTCGCTTCTACCAGCAGAGAAAAATTACCACCAAATAGAAAAAGAGGCTCTAGCAATTATATTTGCTGTGAAGAAATTTCATAAATTTATTCATGGAAGAAATTTTAGGTTGCAAACAGACCACAGACCTCTATTAACATTATATGGTTCAAAGAAAGGAATATCTACGCGTAGAGCTAATAGACTTCAATGGCACCGGTTTAATTATACCCAATGCGACGTCTCGTTCGAGGTCATGTTTCACTCTCTTCTTCTAATTGTGAGGGGTCATGGGTCGGTGAGTAAACTGCTGATGGGCTTGCATCAGGAACGAAAGTAATGTCCAATGGCTTTCCTGTCATAGCCTGAAAGGGTTAGTGTGGGCATGCATTAAATGCGCGGGGTGAAAAATTTGAGACAAAAACAAACTGGGGAGGCAGGGAATCTCAACATGGGCAATAACAAGAGAATGCCGGAAAACAAGCCGGGAACAACACTTATTCATATTCACTAAGAAAACGAAATATTGTATAACTTAGTCAGGAGAGTGTTCACAAGAAACAGCTTTGTTGCATGAAAGGGACTTAAAAGAGAAAATCAAGGCTAGTCCCGTCCACGCGAACCAGGCTCGCTTCAGTTACCCACCTTTCACCGAAATCTGTCGGAATCAAACGTTTTCTATCAGATCTAATTTTTTACTAATGCTTAAAGAAAACAACCAGATCCTGACGCGAATAACATTCATCTCGCAAGATTCCATCCTTTCGCGACGTCCACACCACCATTCTAGCCACGGCTATAAACGTAAAAAACACCTTCCGTTTTACCCCGGAGAATGGGAAAGACACATTGTCACAAGAGCTGACCGGGATCGATACAAACCGTCAACTCGTCCACATAATTCCAGAAGGCGCGCACCTGAGGACAATGGTAGAAGGTGTGCGAAGCCGTTTCCTCTAAGCCAAGGTCGCACCGATGACAGTCTTGTAAATCTGTCTTTCCCCATCTGAAAGTTACGTCAATTACTAGCTAAGCGAAAACTCAGGATTGCTGAGATAATCCACCGCTGGCGCCCAAGACCAGAAAGAGCGCAACTTGATGCCGACAAGCCCAGCCTATCACACAGAGGATCCTTCGCAACCCTTCCACTAATTCACGATATAATAGTTTCCAAGGCCGAGAAAGATCACTGGACCGTGGAATGACATTCAAGCCGACCGATACACGCTGAGGAAACTTGACAACCTTCCACCACGGCGACGGCGCTTACCCCAAGAAATGGGAGGAGTGATGGTAAGGCTAGGGAAGGCTTCCCTAACACTCCGCAACAAAATTGAGTCCTCTGTCAAAAAGCGGCGTAGGAAAGCCAACCTTGAGGCGTAGCGATGACTCGCCAGGTGTGCAATCCCAGGCCCCCATGACACGGAGGCTGATAACAGGCTTCCTTACAGACCCAGTGTTTTCAACCACCCCACAAGAGGTTGGTAAACAAATGCTCGATCGCCTCACTACGGGTCCTACAAAGAGGAAGTACAGCCAAGGATGAGGGGCAAAACGTAAGTAGCACATGACTCAGCCCTACCCTTTATGAACAACGTCCCTCGTAGCCAAGTTCGGACCGAGGCCCCGATCTTTACCTCTACTTCTGACCAACTCTTCTTTAGCCGGAGTCCGGGCTCGAACCACATTCCAAGAATGCGGACGGGTCCATCAGTCCAACCAAAGCGCGACCTCCTTCTAGGCACCTAGCCGCAAGCCGGGAGACCTGATGCCTGTCACCTTATCGTACCGTTCAAGTGCCATCTATACCACTTTAATGTCGCGTCACGAAAATGGACACATCTTCGGCGTACGCGGAAACCCTGTCTCGAGCTCCACCAGGGAATACAACGATTCTGCGTAGGGTC